CCCATGCTACAATTCTTACAACATTAAAATCTAAAAATAAAAAATTATCCTATTTGCTTATTAGAGCATTTATTTGCTTATTATTTGTTTACATCTAATCATACATGACACAGAAAGTGTCTGTGATATTCCTGTGTAAGGCTTTACAATTTTTTATCTAGAAAAATCCCTTGTTTCTCTAGAAACAAATACCACAAGAACCTCACTTGTGATTCAAACCTTACCTTCATGACAAGCCTTATCTTTCAAAAATTGTATTACAGTAAGATTCACATTTTATCCAATATCTTATATCTCAAAGTGATTATTTTCAATATACATGAAATTCTCTTTCCTTGAATGCCTTGAGCAAGAGAGAGAAGAATCCAGTGCAAGTAAAGAACAAAGCACCAATATTTGTTATAAATAGAAAAATGTATCCTCTCATTACAAGACATTGCTTACATGCCTCTGATTCCCACATGTACTGGGAGACTATATATAACAGTCATGACACATTCTCATCCAAAGACACATTTTTTTGCACTCTTTATTAGAAAACTATGGTCATGGAATACTATCCAGTTTCCGGTAGTGCAGCACCTATCATTAGCCATGGTTGGCTACACCAAACATTCATCTTGATGAGATGTCATGGAAATTAAATACATTAGTTTATACAAACTTGCATATACAATTAAATTGCTCTGACTTTGAAGTTTCCTGCAATGTACCCACAACCAAAATTTATGAAGTTATTTTCATGAATTCAGATAATCAAGAAAGAGAAAGGAAAATAGTAACAGGAAACAATTAATTCATTGGCCCACTAGGAAACAAGATTTTGTTTAAGCAGGGGTGGATTTTTGCTATGAATAGAATATTTTTAACCCAATGACCACAAAGTTTGATAATGCCCCAAAGTTTAATAGTTTTCCAGTTATAAATCCAACACTTAACATCACCACAAACCACCATGTACTTGCTTCATTTGAATAGATTCATTGAGTCCAAATAGAATTGATTATCTGCTAAAACCTAAACATAAATCACCACAAAAAACCTACAAACAATGAACACACAAATGAACTGGCACAGGAAAAAAATGACGCTTTCCCCTCATATAGCCAAAAATAGTGGCTAAGCTAAATGTTGATTCAGATGCTCCATTTTGTGACAAGTTGGAATAATTAAAATCATAACTTCATTAGAACAAGAATGAGAAGCTTTTGTCCTGGGAGAGATGGAGGCGTGGGAATAGGGTAAAGAGGCACCGACCACGGGGGTAGGAACCCGTGAGATGTGTGTGCGCGGGAATAGACTGCCCTGCCTATGAGCGCTCATGTGCCACCTGTCGCCGCTAGCAGCGGGTCACCACTACCACGGCGCGGGATAGTCACACGGTTTTGTGGCCCCCACAGTACGACTGTTGACCACTTTTGTTGTCTGGGCCCCAGCCCCCCTGTAACCGTCTGCCGGCATGCGGTGCGTAGATATAGATCCTATACCCGGGCTTTCTAAAATGGGAACTATTGAGTTGGGCCACCGCTCCCTGCAAATTAGGAGCCAAGATTTTCATCGCCTCGGATCTCAACTGGAGATCCTTCGAAAATTTCATGTGAAACTACGTAATTTAAAATAGATATATATATATATATATATATATATATAATGTAGATTATGGTTTGAATAGAAGAAGAAAAAGAACTAACTAGAAGAAAGAATGAAACGAAATCTCCCTTTTTCTTTCGCTTTCCTTCATCTTACTTTCCTCCTTGATTTTGTGACCCGGTATGCTTGTGTATGCATGTACTCACACAAAAAGGGGTTCATTGCACCCAAGAATAAGAATAAGAATATGGAGGTGAAATATTTTGGTTACTCAATTCTATTAAATTTTTGTAATATAAAAATATATGATTATATATATTTTTAAAACCATTCCAGCATACAGTTGCAATATGGCGAATTGACATGTATGCTCAACAACTTTTTGCTTGAAACCAATGCCTTCTTGTGTGTATTGAGAAATTAGCCTTTAAAAAATTGAATTCGTAGAAGCACAGATACTTTAATTAAACGTTGTACAACTGAACAGAGTGTGGAGATGAGATCAAAGTGCACAATAACCACAGAAAAAGAAAAGAAGGAAGTGTTTGTCTGCTTCTTATTATTTTTGTCAATGCCTATGTTCAAAATTTGTAGCCTTCCATGTATAGAATCAAGGAATGAAGCAGCAGCCAATAGAGGAAATTGTGCCATAGTGCTCCCCAGAATCAAGGCTGCAAATCCCCTGTCCCAACAAGTGAGATCATGCCCTGATATACTTTTCAACCCAACCCAACACTGCACTGAATTATCAAAAATGGTAGATCCAAATGGAGTTGGTTTTGGTGTTCGTTTCGAGAGCTGATGTTTTTGCAATTGTTGTGGCTGGATATTAGTATTATTATTATTATTAAACCCATCAATCCAATTTTAGGGTTTAGGGGAAAAGGAAAAAAAACCCAAAGGTTCCAAGATCAACTCACAATGCTAAAGGATTCTCAATGCATAACAAGTGGGTTTTTACTAGTCAATCCTCTGAACTGATTCCACATGAGAACCCAGTCATGGCCATTGACCACACTGCAATAAACAAATAAATAAATAAATATATTGCAGTGTGGTCAGTTGGAATCTTGTGTTTGTGTGTTTGAGAACTCTGAGGCAGGAAATGGGGAGCAGGTGAACCCAGGCCTTGTCTGCAACCCCCACCCCCCCAAAGACCAGAATAATCCCTTCCATTTTCAGACTGCATTTATCATAAACAAATATGAAAGCAGCTCATCTATAATTTATGTTATAATTGAGCCTATTAATTATATGACATGTGGGTCATTTAAATTATCCACTTCTGGGCTGTGTCCAACTCCAGGTGTTTTCCTCTGTAGGGCAGTGTCATTAACACTTGTATTAAGTATTAGCTTGGATGGTTACTATATTAGACCTCTGCAGATCATTTAATTTTGGTTAAATTTGCATGTTACAGAGAAAGTAAAGAGGAAAATAAAAAAAATTAAAAAATAGAGTGAAATAACAAAGAAAGATTGCTCCACTCACGAAATGATTTTGGGATGGTATCTAATATGGAAAGACCCCAAATGTGTGACCATTTCTGTTGTTTGCACCAATAGATTTGCTCACAATTCCTGTTGAGCTCTGGTATTGATATATACATATACACAAATTTAATCCTGATGTACAGAATCAGGTGAGGAAAATCTCTTGTAGCAGCACACTTTCAATTGAGAATCGAATTATAATATATATAAAAAAGTGGATAACAAAATTGAGTATTTTTCTAATGTGACAAAATTATTCAGTAAAGCTTGTCTCAAAATCCATGCAATTTATTGCAGAAATTGAAATAACTTCAAATTCCATTCAGTTGTATAGATATGTGCAATATAAATATGGCAAACCTGGATAAAGCACTGCAAGAAAATTAGATTACTATTATTATTATTATTCTACTTTTTCAAGCTTGATTCCATTTTAACATTGTGGCATGTATAGTGGCTACCTGCAGAGGTCTAATGTAGTAAGTATCTAATCCTTAAGGTAATCTAGTGCACCATGCATGACAATCTTTGTGCAACTGAACACAGCTAGGCTCCCAAATACAATTTAACTGCTTAGTCTCCATCCACAAGTATGTACACACTACAATGTTATCTGCAGAGAACTTGCTCATGTTTGGTATGGTACGTATGAACATGGTGGCTGAAATTGCACTGCATTAGCATAATTATAAAATTTAAAAAATCACATTTTATTTGAAGAGCTTTAGAAAACATTCAGAGTTTGTAAAAGCATGCCTGTTCTTCACCATTGCTACAGTTAATAGGATTATTTTACATGTTTGTCATTTATCACAGAATGATATGAAGGTGTAAGTCTCACACAAAGCAGTTATCAAATGCTCTGAAGAATCCTTCTGGCAGATCAGAATTTATTGTAATTATTTCCTCATATTAAACACATGTGAGAAGGGTGAATACTAATAATAATAATTGTTACAGTTTACTAGTAGACATATGGTGATAGCATTCTGATTAGGGAATAGACTGGAGTACAACCCCCAAAAATCTATCCCAAACTCTAATTAGCACTACTATTAAATAAACAAGCAATTTCCATCTAAAGTAGGATAACATACAAGAGCTTTAGCCTGTAGTAAAAGTATACAGTAATTACACCACTCCACACCATTTGAATAGTATGAGACTCTGACTGACAAAAGTGTGGACTCTTACACAAAGTAGAATGTTATAGAAAAGGAATTCAACAAAGTTAAAAAAGTTAAAAAAGTTAAAAAAATATATGAAGTCAAAAGATGGTGGGCATCATCATAAGAGCTCTTTGTCCCATTTACTGTGTACAACGAATGTCTGTGAACCTTCAAAACCAAAATTCTCTAGGTTTTCCAGCTGAGAAAACAACTGAAACACTGATGCAATGGAGTCATACACACTCTGGAATGCAACAAAACCCAAACATCCAGAGAGAGAGAGAGAGAGTAAATTAGGTGTTGGTCAATGTGTTTTGATCAACTTAGGTTTGCTGCATGGAATGATGCAGTGGTAGATCACCCCTCAGATTGGACTGTGTGGATGAGTTGCTGATGCACCCCATAGCAGCCTGGTGCTGAGATCCTGCGATCATGGACGGGGGAATAACTAATCTAAACAGTTATCATCGAAAGCGCCAAATAACCATGACAAACATAGAAGCTCCTCTCAAAGTCTACAGCATAAAAATAATGCCGTCATGCGCCAGCTCGCTACACTGGCGGTGAGCTTCTTCAGCGTTTCCGAAACTGGCAAATCCTGGCCTCTGAATCTAGAGCATAGACCAAGGTTCTACTTCCGAGGACGCAGGGATGGTCTCGGAAATAGGCCGCAACTCATTTCCGTGGAGCGATGCGAGCTGGGGTGCGGAGCTGCTGCCGTGAGGAGCATAAAGCAGGGAGGGGTCAATTGGAGAGCTTTCATGGTGACTTGCAAAAGATCCTCCTCTCTCCAGACCGACCAAATTCTCATCGTTTCGTTGAAGTGGTAATCACCATGTGCCGCGAATCCTCAGTGCTTCGTCCCCCACGCTCTCTGCTGAAGTCTCCATTTCCGTCACCCAACTTGTGAGGAAAACTAGGAGGAGGAGGAGGAGCGAGAGAGAGAGTGTGAGTCAGTGTAGAGCCTGCCTGTAACCCTGTGAAACCCAATTTTGCCGTTTGATGGTTATGTAGCTGGTCCGTTACGTTATCCTGTAGATTCAGCGAGTTTTTCAGTGTTCGACATGCCTTAGGGGATGTCGAAGATATTCACATAGGTGATGTGCTCGAGTATTTACTAGCGGTGCGATAGCTCGTAGGATTTGGAAAACGGGCTGCAGTCGGTGCGGTATTGGGTTTGATCTGCTGTGTTCAGCTGCGATAAGTTCTATCTGTGTAACCTGGTCTCTGAAGTCGGAGTGTTGGGGTACAGCTGATCATCGAGTTCTGCAGTTTTGAAATTGCGTCATGATCGTCACTGCTGCCGAGTTTCATCCCTAACGTTGATCTGTCGCGCTGGTGTCACATTGCCTCGTCCGTTGGATCTGGCTTTCGCTTCGAAAAACCTTCTCTCCAGTTTTGTCAGCGATATTCTCCCCCTAGAACGACGGATTTTTGAAGTATACGCACAGCAGAAGAAAGCGAACAGATCTTAGACTAAATTTGTAAATTTTTAGTTTTAAGCAGGGTCTGTCTTGCGAGTAGAATATCCGACACAGCTGCAGCAAGGAGTGCTGCCGTAATACTCTAGTGCTCAGCTCCTTGTTCTGCATCATTACACACAAAAGACGGATCACCATCGGAAGGAACAGTTTCCTGCGAGAAGAATAGCTCAATAAAGACCACGGCGAGATTGTGGTATAAAGCGGGTTGTTGAGTTTTAGGCCGGAGAAGTAGCTCACGCCACAAACTAGAGTGCTCGGAGTTGGTTGATTCCTCATTTTTTGTTTCCAAGCAGATATCAGTAACGATGACACTTAGTTTGAGACCGGATGATCGCAGCGCGCTCAGAACTATGGAAAAATGGTAATGCTCGCCACTCACCTCAGCTGGGGATAAATCTCTAAAGTAACGATCTCCTCTATTTTGGAGTTGGAATCCATCTGGTGTCTGGTAAAGGTTTTTATTTTTTTATACCTTGGACTGTTTGTGGGTTGACCCGCTGCTATCTAGCAGTCACGAGGAAGGGTTTCGATCTGCCACATACACTGTACGCATGTTGACTAGGTTCTGGAATCTTTGGAATGATCATGCTGTTTCTCTTTTTTATACCTCTTTGTGCGTGCGCAGGTCGAATTCCGGTGCAGGTTGGAGCAATCATCAGCACCCAATGCTCGAATCCTCGATCAGTCCTCTGTTTAATTACACGCAATCTCACAATGGGCTGCAATCACAGTCAATGTTCCTGCATCCGATGGGAGCTGCGGAGCAGCAAGCTCTGGTGCAGGCATTTGTGCAGGCTAATGTGGGGTGCATGATGGACCAGCCATCGCAGAGTGGGTGTGGGAACCTTGACTCGCTGCTCAAGTCCAGCAACAGCTCCAGTATGGTGGATTCCAGCGCAAGCGAGATGACATCCCCGGACGACGACTGCACTGGTGCACCAGAGAATAATCTTCACATGAATTGTATTCCCTCTCTCGGCGGCGGCCCCGTATCTCCCGTTTTGACCAGCATGCTTGATCGCACCGCTAGTAATGGTGCGTCCTTGATGGCCGCCCACCCACAATCCAAAAACGATTTTTTTCGTATGAGGAGTCCGGGAGGGCCGCTGTCGCCAGGAGCGTCAGCCTGTGCGGAAAGCGAGGATTCTTTACACGGCGGTGAGGCGTGCGCACCTGCAATGACGGGTCTCAAGCGCCGCAGCTTCGAAGGGGACGACGGAGACTGGATGGTGGATCAGATGCATCTCAGTCAGAAGGTGGAGAAACAGCATCACCAGCAACAACCCGAGAAAGCTCTTGCGTTTCAAGAGAGTTTCGGAGGGTATAACGTCGAAGTAGCCTCGACAGTAGGTTTAACTGCGACCTACTCCGACTCGCTTACCATTCCCTCTTTGATGCAACCCTCACCGCAACCATTTCTACGGAGCAGTGGCAATTGTGGTGCAGCATCGCCGGTGGACTTGGACGAGTTCGCCAGCATGCGCGCCATCTTGTTTCGGCATGCTTCCCAGCCTGTACCCAGTCTGGAAGAGATCGCAAGCTCCCGTCCCAAGAGAAGGAACGTGAGAATCTCGAAAGACCCCCAGAGCGTCGCGGCTCGCCACCGCCGCGAGCGCATCAGCGATCGCATCCGCGTTTTGCAGCGGCTTGTTCCGGGCGGCACCAAAATGGACACAGCGTCCATGTTGGACGAAGCCATACACTACGTGAAGTTCCTCAAGCTGCAGCTCCAGGTCTGCAACGCTTGCAATCACTTCATTTTGGAATTTCTCTACAACTCCATTGAGCCTCATTACTTTATAAAAATCAGTTGTCTTGTGTAAACGTCCAATATTACAAGGTGTTTGAACATGGTTTGTGGTGCTTTGGTTTGGTTGTTCAGACATTGGAGCAGATTGGGAACAATGGTTGTGATCCCCGATCGTTTTTAGAGCAAGGGGGTGCAACTGAGGAGCTTGCAAACTTGGTGCGCCCGTTCGACTTGAACTGCACCGCTGCGTTTCAGACATGGCCGCCTCAGACGACTACCATGGTGAACCATGGCGACACGTCTCCTCAAGGGCACAATTCGACGGAGTGGGCCTGTGAAGCCAACCAAGACGATTGCCCAATGTAATAGGAAAAAATCTCACATTTTCTTGTGTTACAGCATGAGCTTTGCGAGGAGCTTCGAAACATGACGCATGCCTCCTTGAGCAAGACCTGACTGGAGGCGACATGACTGGAGTCCACATTTTGAGGAAATTAATCGTCGACAACATACTTTTAATGTTCGGCTGCCTGCCTGCCTGCCTGCCTGCAAGAAAGGACATGCCGTGCACAGCACAAGAATTTGGCAGCAATTTTGTGAGACACCATAGCTATTGCATTGAGATGATTTGTCGAGCCCTTGAGACGGAGATTCAACACCTAATGGTTCTTCCATCCGCAGCCCCCCTTCTTCCTGTTCATGTTCATCTTTTTATTTTGATTTTTGGTTTTTTATATTTAGTTTCGATCTTCACTTGTCCCCTTCGAGGCTGATCCCCGTTTGTATCGTAAACCAAAGTACATACAAGAACCAATCCCTCCGATTCATCATCAACTCCACATGCCGCCCTGCGCTCGCCCTCGGAGGATGCCGGTGGAGAAAGCGGTGCCCAAATTCATTTCTAGTATTGGAACATCTATTCTGTTCCTCCTTTCAAGTTCACTCTTGTATAGTTGGTAGTTAATTTGATGATCACTAGCCTGTCATCGAGGCTTCTCGACTGTTTTGTGATTTTCAGCTCCCCCATAGATGTTCCAGATTTTGAGATCACAGATCTAGGGTGGAAGAATCTGTACAAGTGGTATGACCTTCCTTAAAAACCCCAGATCTTTGAGCCTTGTGTGCAGCAAAAAAACGAAAAATAAATAAAATTGTACAGACCACCACTGCAATGCAAATGCAAGTCATTGCCTCTCTATGAAACATACCCCCAGTGGCCATTTTTTTCTAAAACTGGTTGCCTTCTATGCCAAGTTCGGTGGCTCTGAGGCTATGTGGTCTTGGGTAGATTGTGAAACGTTTGTTCCCCTCATTCCTTGCCTTGAAAGTCTTCTTCTTGCTCCTCTCTTTTGTCTATGGATCATGGGGCTGTCACAACAATTTGATTGAACCATGTATCCTGAAGGTTTGTACATATTTTGTGGGTCAACTTAATGTTGGAATGGAGGAGGCTAGTTCTATCATTTTTTTAAGGAGAATTTGACAAGCTCTTGTGTAAGCTTGAAGTACACTGCTTCCATTTAGTGGGCACCTGGATGGATTCCTGAGAGCTCTGGAACAACCAGGATATGTCATGACAATTGCTCATAAATTGCCTTGGCATGACACAGTGCATTGGGGGGAGAGAGAGAGAGAGAGAATATAGAGAACAACTAAGTTCAGTATACTGCCAGCCTTGTCTGGAGAAACACTCTGGGTTTGTGCTCTAATGGCTTCCTCAAGGGTGGTTTTGTTTGTTTGTTTTTATTGTTTTCTAATTCAGATGTATCAGGCATGAGCCTTGTGAAACTCATTCATCAATGCCACCATGTGTTCTCAGAGGTCAACTGGTGTGCCAGTGAGCCTGGAATACCTTGAACACTTGCTGCAATATCAAAGTCACCTGGAATTTCATGGTGTGCAAAACATTTCACACTATATGAAATACAAGATAGTTCTTCCTTTTCTCTTCCTCTTCTTCTTCATCTTCTACTATATGTTTTTTTAATCAATTTTTTCACACTTACCACTATGATTTTATTTCATGGACTTAAATTATCCCCCTTCTAAGAATATACTGATGAAGACAACAGTTGCTGATCTTCCAGTGAAATTTTCCAACATTCACATGAGAAGTTAGTAGAGGGAGCTTGGCTACTCAAGGAGACCTCACCCTGGAAATATCCTGAGGGGTATATGTGCAGGATGGGATGGCCTTCTGCAGTAAAGCCCACCACCAGTACCCCTCACAGCACCATGTCATGTGATCCATGGCCCTTCCCAGTACTTCAGCCTAGACATCACTACCCCCCCACCAGTGTCACTAGCATCACTCCCACCAGAATTAGGGTTTGCTGATCCACCCTTTGGCAAACTCCACATAACAACTCCACTGCTTCCATCCTCATGAATCATCCTCATTAATCAGCCTCTACACAAAAAATAAAAAAATAAAAAAAAATAAATCAAGTTCACAAACTCTTCAGCTTCCATGAGGATAGTTCCACAAGGTTCACACACAACACATGCCATGCTCATAGCAAACTCCTTCCCACATGCTGAAGTCAGAGGTGGGATGCAGCTGATTTTGGTTGAACAGTTCTCTCCTGCAGAATGAAGACACACCTCCTGTAAAATATTCAAACACAGAGAGGGAGAGACAATTTCTCTAATGGAATAGACCAAATGTTGGGAAAAGAGGGTTGAGGGGAATGTTGGAATGATGGTGAAGGGACCAGGGCAGTGGGGGGGTTGTGCTAGTACTACAACAGGACAGGGGTGGGGGCTGAGGGAGTTGGCCATGTGCCAGTGTACACAAAAAAGGCGATGCTTGATTAGACCTAGATCTCACTTGTCACACACACACACACCCCCTGGGTAGTACAATGGCTTGACTTCACACATACTTCTTCTACCTCTCCCCTCCATCCCCCTTCTCCTTGTGGGACAATATATGCTCTATCCAACAGCCTAGATTGTGTCCCGTGCAGACAAGATCTTGTTACAACCCTGGTACTATGACACCCCATCCCCTCAAAAATCAAATTGCTTCTATATCTTCATAATAATGTGGGGGAAAAAACACACTTGCAACTGTTCATCTCACACTAGAAAATTCAAACTGTGTGTTATGACTGCTCTTGTTTTCCAAACAACAAATATTTCTACTTTGTTCACGTTTTTGCTTCATTGTGGGGCCTTTGTGTGTTGTCTTCCAACAGGAGTACAATAGTTCAAACTCTGATGTGATGCAATGGATTGGTCATTGAACTTGTTTTACTATAGGTTTCTGAACACAGTGGTTGTTCCTTAATTTTTTTAAAACTTTACCTGCCACTTACTGTACAAAGGTAACTTTGTAACATTGAAAGCTAAAGTTTTTTAAATATGGTTTTGGGAGTGTAGCTGTTTTTGAAACAGTTATGGTTATAGTTTGGGGCTTCACACTATGGTCAAAGAGCTGTCAACTACAAAGATTGAGAGATGAATTCAAAATTAAAATGATGAAACAACTCATATGCCAGCATTTATTCTTCTTTGATTTTTGTAAGTTGCATGAAACTTTTTAGATACAATTGGTAATTTAGAGAGCATGCATTATACAGTTGCATAAGATATGGTCCAAATGAAAAGAAAGAAAAAGAAATCACTTTTTTCACAATATTGTTTAATTTATTTGTATTATTTTTATTGAAAATAAGGAAGGAAGAAAGAACTTCACTTGAATAAGAAAGAGTGATAAAAATAATTTATAAGCATAAAATTCTTCTTATTTTCTAAATTATCATTACTAATTTAATCAAAGAAAATATAAGTTGGAGTTAAGAATAAAAATTATTTCAAAATTGTAAAAATAATATTTATATGCTGAAATTTATGTATTGACAAGCTATCTTAAACTTCAATACTCTTGTTATAAATATATATATATATATATATATATATATACCACACTTCTCTAATTGATCTCTATCTAGTTTATGTCTCATTTAAATTTTATTTATTTACTTATTTTAGAAGTGGACTCCTTAGCAAAAACATTTTATAGATCTTAATGTACTTAGAAGGTGCTTAGAGGTTACTTTTTAAGTTTTCAAGTTAGCTTATGAAAGAATCTTTATATCTAAAGGAGAAGATAAGAGACCATAATTTTTAAATCTTTTGATTGATTGTTATATAGAAGTTTATAAATTTAAACTAGTAAAAAAATTTAAAATTCGTAATCTCTCACCTTTTCTACTAAGTATAAAGACTCCTTGAGATTTAAAGCTTTAAAGATCGATTATAGTCTAAGATAATTGTCAATCACTCATCTAGTATAACTTCCAATTGCTAAAAACTTGGTTGACATGGTTCTTTTTCTTAGCACTTGTTTTTTGATTGTTGCAGTTGTTTTAAGCTAAAAAATATTTTTATATTCAATAACTCTATATGACACAATTTTTATTTTATTTTCTTTTATAACCATTCAAATCCCTTAATAAAAGATCTTGTCAATTCTTTGCTTCTATGTTGTGAAGATGCAAGCTTCTATCATCAATGGCCAAAGAACTTCTATATTATTTCATTATTAGAAAGGACTCTAGTTTTTCATCTAATTGTGTTTTTTTCTTTCCCTTCTTCTTCTCCTTTTTATAATTTAATTCAATTTAATGATTTTTTCTTGTCAAAAAAGAACAATCCTATCAATGGTTAAAAGTAGCTTCTTGCCTCGGTTTTTCCTTTTCCTTTTCTTTATGTTATAATAGTTTAGATTAATTAAAACTTGCCAATGTAAGTTGTTGGGTGTGTTTGTCATTTCAATCATATCCTTTAAAAACCAAGGCATTTCTTCAAACCCATATTTTACACAAGTAAATGCCTTTTTTAAAATAACCATACATCTCTAAACTTTTTAGATCTTAGGAAGAGGATTTCAAAAAAAAATGCTTGTTTCTGTAAATAAATAAAATTCTTCCAAAGGCATTGCAACACTATGAACTTATTACAAATTCATTTCACAAAAAAAAAAAAAAAAAAAAAAAAGGCTCAATGCCATATTCCTTTCACATGAGGGCACTCCAAAAACCTGTGCAGCATATATTGTTTTTACAGCAGCTGTACAAACATGTATAGCTATATTTTTACCAATGCAGACTGTAAAAGAAAATAACCAACCAAGAGACTGTTAAACCTTTTTTCTCCCACTGGGCTCAAGTTAAAATTCTGTGAGAAAACTAGTCAACACAATTTGGTTTGACAGGAGAGAGAGAGAGAGAGAGAGAGAGAGAGAGCATCAGCTGTGTCAGCTAATGGATAAAGGGTACAAAATCAGGCAGGCATCTTGCAGTCTGAACCTCCCAAACTCACTCACTCACTCACTCTCAAGCCTCTCCTCCCCTTTCCCTCCCCCTCTACCAAAATGGAATAGAAGCTATGTGGGGCCAGATATGAAGACAAAGATAGAGCTTCCCCCCTCTGCATGAGTGTGTATGTCTCTCTCTCTCTCTCTCTCTCTCTCTCACTCTCGTGCTATGGCTTGCTCTCTGCCACAATGCTCAGTGTGTTATGTACAGCCTCCATGCATTTTAAAGCTCAGCCTGCCTGACCACCCACAGCAGCTAACACTCTGGGTGCAAATGGTGGGCTCACAGGTCCTGTGCCCATGGCCATAGAAGTCTTTACTGCTCCCTAGAGAGAGAGGCATAACCAGCTACTATGCCTTGAGGTTTCTTACTATGCCTTGGAGAGGGGCTCAGTTTCAAATAATAATATGTAGTGCAATAATAATAAACTTCTGGCACTGTGGAGCAAGTGGGGACAGTCTTGTTGCATTGTCCCAGATTGATCATCTGTCAGGTTGGGGAGTGTCATGCTGAGGGAAAAAAGGGGGGGGGTACCAAGACACCAGATGCAGACATGGGGCAGCAAGATCCTTCCATTAGTGGCAAGTGTCTATATCATTGGCAAGACACAGTTAGTTATGAGATGGCCAGAGATGGCAAGGAAAGGAAAAAACTAAAGTCTGGGGTCCAAAGTTCCACTGCAGGCCCCCCTGTCTGTTGCAAGAGGGGAGGGAGAGGTGAAGCTCTGCACTCCACAAGGAGAGGCTGGTGGTGGTGGTGGTGATGCTACAATGACAAGGCCCCACTTTGGAGAATTTCAAAGGCAACATTGCCCGGCCTTGTGTTGCCTGGCCTTGCCTTGTGTAGAAGTTGTGGTGGTGGTGGTGGTGAGCCTTCTGTTTTTCTTGGAAGGCTCTTCCCCATTAGAACCTCTTCTGCTGCTCCTCAGGCTTTGAGCAAGAGGGGTTAAGAGGTGGGTCAGGCAGTGCATGTGCATGACATGTGAGGAGTGTGTTCATGGTACCTTGGAGAATGTGCATCATGGTTGAAAAAGAAGAGAAGACAAGTAACAAAAACAATAATATTAAAATATCACCTCTGCTGTATCACTCTATTCTTTTTGTTTCATTTTCCTGTATGTATGTGTGTTTGTTTGTACCAGACAAAAGTGAAGAGTGCATATGATGTGAGGGCTTGAATGGGTTAGATTAGAGGTAAAGCTCCTTGTAATGACCTCCAGTCATGCGTCAGATTTGTGCATGTCTGCATTTTTTACACAAATTTAGTAATCCCAATGCATTGATGGCTTGAATGGAGACAAGTCTGCATGTATCTTGATACCCATCAGGATAGATCAGGAAGTAGACAAACTTAGTGATCCATGTTTGAAACCCTGGGGTATACTTTCTCTGTTGGTGAAGATTTGAAAATAATATTACTATATATATATATATATATATATATATATATATATTAGCAAGAGAAGAGTTGAATGACATCAACAATGGAGGGTTGTTGGGCAGTCAGAGGGGATTTTGGTATCCCCCCTTCAAGTTAGAAAAAAAACCCAATCCATAAATGAAGCCAACTGTGCCTTGTTAGAAGGGGTTTTGAATTTCCAGGGGAACAGCTTTAGAAGGGGGGAAGCCCCCTCCACTTCCCCCTTCAAGGATTGCACAGGCACTCCACCCCACCCTCTCACCTGCCATCCAGCATGGGCCCTGCCACAAGATCCATAGTACACTACTGGAAAAAAAAAAATGTTTGCCTTGTTGGCACTGAAGGTAGCTCCAATGAGGCCGATTACCAACATTATTTTGCCTTGTTTTGGGAACAATGGCACATGGATGCCTCAGACCTGCTCCTCCTGCTGCAGCCTTCCTTTGCTCTATAGTTTTTATTTCTCCTTCCTCTCCTTGGGAACTGGGACACATGACCCACCCAAATATCCATCCCACCAACAGCTCTGGGCTACAAATCATAACAGGACATCTCCTATGTTGGCTGCCCAATTCACCACTTAGACCAATTAATAAATAAATATATTAATATAATCGCCTAGCCATTCAACTCTGCCTCCTCATAGTGTTGCTGAGTCAAGCAAATACAACAAAAGGAACAGGCCAGCTTTCTATTTATACACTTATTTATTTCCAGGATGAAGTCAAATCCTGTCAATACTTATTTTTGATGAATATGGAATTTGGTGTGTTCTCATACACATGGACCCCAAAGCTATACCTGGGAATTGTGTCATTTTTGGTACATGAATGAATAGTGTGTTTGTGTTGGATGCACAACTTCAATCATAAAAAATAAAAACACTTCCCATCCAGGTTGGTAAACATTTGTGATTTTTTACAGTGAAGGATTACCTCATTTGGTGGTGATTGCAAGTAATTATAGAATTTCAAAGGTGGCTTTCCATTGAAAATGCACAAAAGAACTGAATTTTAAACACTTCAATGAAAAAGCATTGAATGCACTTTGATAAAGGTGTGAGATAAATTGATCATTAAATGGTTTTTACAGGCCACATTTTTGCTTAAACACTACAAGGGATGTTTGCAAGGATTGTGACAAGCTGCATAAAAAGAAAAGGCAAAAAACCAGCTTGAAGGTCTTTGGCCATACTATTGTGCAGGTTGGAAACATTAGTAAAGGAAGGTAAATCATGCCTCTACCTTACATTTTTTCTCTTGGAAAAGAGTTAATACATATAGATGATCCATTTGATATTACTAAATTTTGACTTGAGCCATTTCCTCATACATACTCTTGCAATCTTTGCAATCTACAGCATTTGTCCAATGACCCATAGACCATGTTAATCAAACTGTAGAAGAAGAATTCCTACATTCCAAAAACAATGTCATGTACCTTACCCAACTTTGGTTATTAAAAAAGTGCCAATTGCTGTCTGGATATGCAAAGATATTGACACAACTTCAAACCCTAAACCAATCCCATGCAGTGTATGAGTTCCAACTCTAGGCTAGAGACAAAGCGAGAGTGGGTCCTTAGCCATTGAACCAAGCCCTAGTGAGATTCAACATGTGTTAGAAATCCTTGACACATATTTTTTAAATGCAGAAGAAACCACATGGAATGTGAGGGCTTCTGTATAAGCCTCCTTCCAAATCATCAGCAATCATTCTTTCATTCAACAAATCTGAGTTTTTCTTAAGGCTGGGACCACCCCAGCACACTGAAAATAAATTTAAAAACTAACTCATCATATGTTATTTTATCTTCCTAGCAAATGATTTCTTGCAGGGTTTGCAAAGTCCAATGCATTGTGACTTAGACATTCAGAATGATTCGGTTTTAGGGCTTGCACAACCACAATTGTCTTGGTGAAATTGACTTCTTGTTTGTAGAGAAATTGAGGGTGGTTATCATTGTCTTTGTACCAAGAGTCAAGGTCAAAATATTGAAGCATACTTTAACCAACCTCAAACTGTGTTTATGCACAAATGACAAAATATATAATCCCAAGCCTGAGATTTTACATGATGTATTTCCCTAGTCCAACTCTCAGTGTTAATCCCTCATTAGAGCCATCTCAAATTAAGAGACCATCCTTCAACACTTGAGAAGTCACCTTTAGTATCACATGACATCATAGGTTTTAGACCCTATAGTTTTAGGATAGGATGGTGTCAGGATTTAATGTTCAAAGTTTGACTTTAGATTTTAGATTAAAAGTCTTTAAAATCAACCATACATTCTATACCATTAACACGAGGGTTTTGCGCTTTGGTTTTCTCAGGTTAGTCTTCACTTCCAAATTTTATGTGAAAACAAACTAGCTCAGATACCTTATTAAATTTACACTTCATTTGTATCTTGTCATATTGGTCAGCTCCTAACATGGGAAACAACACAGAACCTGCTGCAACATTTCTGTTCCCAGTTCAAACATTTTGACTCAACTTCTGATCAGGGGTCCTGCCATCACAGTACACCATCATGCATATCCAGGACATGTCAATTCTGTAGCCACATGTGATAATACAACATTGACACCTGGGAGAAAAACTGGAAAACACAGTGCTTTGATAAGACAGCTGAAGATACAACTCTTCACATAGAATAACACAGCGCCATATATGTATGAACAGTAACTGCAAAGGTGGTAAATACAACTCTAGGTAACTAAGCGGTCGATATTTCTCCAATTCATATAGGGTTCCGTAGGGGGGTTACAATAAGCATCAAGCCATGCTGACTAAATTGACCATAGGTCAGATAAGGTAAGACTATTTGCATGTATGAGATTAGTGTCTGTTAAACATCTAGAATTGAAGGCACAGAGAAGAGAAATTCGAGGTTGAAATGTACAAGTTACAGCCCAGTCATCCTAAACCCAGTAGCACAAAAGAGGCACCGTTTGGCAGTTAGATTTCTGCAACTCTGGCAGATCTCAGAAGACAGCATGTTTGATGAATAGCAGATTGAGACTTGGAAGTGTTAGAACAATGCACTGTCACAAAAAAAGAGATAGATACATACTAACCATACAACGTAATAAACTGCAAAGGGAGGCATACAATATTAGCTAGTGCGTGGTTTGACTGCAAAGAGGAATGCAATTTTTTGCTTGATTTATCAATTAGACGTTTCAGAACTAATAGGGGCCTTCGTTCTCCATAATAGGGCTGGGACTGCTTCTCCAGCACAGCGGACAATTCAAAACAGAATGCAAGTTTTCAGAATTAGATACTAATCAAAATGCAGGGCATGACTGGAAAGACATGGATGCATACTTGCTGCTCCAGCCATTTGTGGAACTGATGTAGCTCTTTCAATTGAGGCTGATCAAATATGACGAATACTAACAATCCCGTTTACTTGGTGAACATCGAAACTGTCCTCATACATTTTTCAAAGGCCAGTGAATGAGAAGAGGAAGCAAGAAAGTATAACCTACATCCTCACGTCTACATTCCCACCTGCTACAGATAAATACGTTGATGCAACTTTGAAAAGTTCAATATTGGAGTGCTTATCTGGCGGTTTACTAGCCTCTTACCAAGCGATGTATCGTCCACCTGAAACACAAAACGTCTTCAATCCTAAATTTTGCGGCAAACTTTGTCTGAATGACATAATCTAAGTTTCTTAGGTACTGCCGCGTTGAGCAAAAATAAATGAACTTGATCTACAAGTTACTTGTAACTTCAACATAAAAGATAAGGACGCATGCCTAAAAGAAGAGACGACTCACTTTGTCAAATAGCCTTGGATCAGAATGAAGCCTTAACTGGCTCAGGCACCTCCAACTCCTCAATGGGAATCCCTTCAGAATCTTTGTTCTCCTCCTTGTGCCAAGGACCCTCCCAGCTCAGAAAAGCACTGTCTTTGGAATCCTCTTCCTCCAGAAGGTCTTTTGATGTATGAGATGGAATGCGGTGACGCTGCAGAATTCTTAAAGAGGCTTCTCTAGCAGCCCGGAAATCTAGAACTAAAACGCGGTTAACATCCAAATCAAAGCGGATGCTCGTCTCTGTACACTCCTCTACAAGTTTACGCAGATGCCGTAGGTTATGAACTTCAATGCCATTCACCTTGTTCACCTGGGAGAGCAGTGACGTAACATTAATATGAGCCCAATCGTGTTCTGACGCAGTGAATATCACGACCTTTGAAATCGTATCCGTGAATATTGCAAAGAAAAGACTTGTCAAGAAAGCAGCTGGCTTTCATATATGATTATGACATATAGCCTTAAAACACATACCTGGAAATCATGAAATCTTTCGTAGCCAGTATTAATCTCATCCATCAGTATCTGCAAGGAATGGCTCCGTTACCCGTTAGAAATGACAAGCAGAAAATATGAGTGATTGAGACTATCAAGAAATAACTGCTTATCCAAGAAATCCTTGATAGCATCCCTTAAGTTTCACCTGTGACAAGATGACAAGTTGTTGACCAGGCTCGGTTGGATATGCAGACAGGGCACGCTCACAAAGCCGCCGAGGTGAGGTGTTATACCAATCCTCTCCATATTCTTGCAAATAGGGTTGAGTCAAAGGTGTGAATACAAGGCCCGCAAAAATGTAGTAACTTGGCAATACATCAAACTGATGGATCGGTACCAAAGGTCGTAACTGCACAAAAGCGATGATCATGGAAGTCAAAACTATATGTTGTAGCAAAGCCAGGTTGAGGTTGATTTCAGACTCCTTGTCAAGCGACAAAAACTGAAGTTAAACTTGTAAGATGTACGAGCATGTTAACTGAATTTATGTATCGTCGATAGGACAACCTTCAGTTCTTCTAATTTTCTTTACAAACGTCTACAAACCAAACAAAAGCTCTCCTTGAGTACGTTTTAACTCTCAAAAATAATCAGTAACTGCTAATTTAACTTGACAACTCAATTCAAAATAACAAATTTGTAGCGGAAAACGTAAAAAAATGATAATTTGGCGTACAGGACCCAGCTTGATGTCAAAGTGAAGTTGTTCGCCTGCTCGCAAAACAGTTACTTTGGCAGCTTCACCAGCTTTCTTCATCGAAACTAAGTGATCAAATGAGATGCGCTCCCTGTTACGAAAATGTACTGCAATTTTCAGCCTTGTCAGCTCACCCCCACCTAAGCATCAACTTCCTCAAAAGGTACTCTCTCTAACATGGAAATCTTAGCAAAGGTTTCAGACTTAGTACTCACACGCACACTAAACACAAAGAATAGCAAAAAAGGAATAAGAGGAAAGTAGACAATATACGTGTTAATATGTCCGTGTGCTGTATACATACATGAAAATGGAGACAAACAAGTCGCAAACGTCCAGATAAATAAGTTCAACGTCGTATTCAAATATGCTCACAGCTATTACCTGTTCCATCATTCGCAATGGGTGTACCGTCAAAGGCCAGAATCACATCATCTCTCTTAAGGCATCTACTGGTGTCAGTAAGAGGGTGAATCTTATTAACCAATACGCCAGTTAACCCGGCAGGCATCCTGTAACGCAAAGTTAGTTGATAAATGAAAAATCGGGAGGAAATACTTTTTAAGAATTAGCATATGTTAGCAGTCAGAAAGCACGAAAATCGAAATAAGATGAGAAAGCTTTTCGAAGCGACAGAACTCGATGGACAAATATAGCTGAAAATATACCCGCCCTTCTATCCCCATTGGAAGTACATCAATACGAAGCAAATGCAACTTGAAAAAGGCAAGTATCACACGCGCTAGATTCTCGCTCATGAAGAAGGTTCAGACTCATTTACTTGAGATGCTCACGCAGCTGCACGTTTTCAGTGGACTGACATGTGATACCCAAAGAACAGAAGCCAATATAGTCTCCTGTTTCCTCCACGTCTGCGAGGAAGTGTTTGATGACTGGAACAGGTATGATATACCTGCAAAAATGACCACCCATCTTGAATCAATTTCAAAAAAGCCTCAACATCATAGAAGACTCCATATCAAGAGTCGATGATACAAGAGGAAAATTCAAAAAACTTCAATGATACACCCTCAGAAGTTGTGCAGAGCTCCACTGAGAGGATAAAGCCTAATCAGAGGCATATAACGTACCCTATGTTTTCTGCATTCGCAAGATTTTGAAAGGCTACCCCAACCACCTTGTCCTCCATGAGAGCAGGACCTCCACTGTTTCCCGGATTGATAGCAGCGTCAATCTGGATTGCCATAAGGTGGGCAGCCCCATGCACGTACCGGGTTGGTTCAACCCTAGACACAACGCCTCCAGTAACTGAGATGTTATCGCCTCCTGCACATCTTAGAGTAAACCATTGTGAAATCACCAACCTGCTAATCGTCCCAAAAAGGTCAATCATAATAAAAATCTGTGAGAAGAATGTCTTAACAATATTGGGTCCATAACCATGAAAACTAGCCTCCTACTTGTTTGAACGTTGCCACCGGTTTAACCATACCTTGAGGGTATCCAACAACGGCAACGGACTCTTGGAGGAATGGGATATCCCCTAGTTCCAGTTCTAGCATTCCTTCCCAAAACTCATCATCGTGAACTCGTACAAGAGCCAAGTCGCATTCATGGCCTACAGCCTCAATATGTGCATGGTACTTGATAGGCGACCCGTGCTTGCGGACCATCATGTGAGTTTGATCAGCCACCACATGGGCATTTGTTAATATCCGGCGCCCAGATATCACAAACCCTGCAAATCCCAACGTTCTTTTGTTGAAACCCAGAGTGCCATGTCCTGAACTGCTAAATAAGTAATGACACAAGATTTGTACAAACGACACCATGGTTAACATGGTGCAGCTCTTCATTGAAAAAAAATACCAACAATTCCCACTAAAAGGTAGAATAAAATGAAACATAAACCTCTGTAATCCACTTGATACTGCAATTATCATGTCCTCATAATGAAGAAAAGTCTTCAGCACTTACCAGAGCCAGTAACCTCTCGCTGCGCTTTGTTCTGCCAAGGGAGGAAGTAGTTTGGGCTGCTGGACACTGCGAAGATCTTCACAACCGCGTCCAATGCTATTTCTGTGGCCAGGTACGGATCTTGTGTTCGGCTTCTCTCAACGGCTGAGTTGGCTATATTCGTAGAAAACCCACGAGCACGTATTGAATTGGACCACGGCCCTCTAAAGAATGAAGAGAATTCCATGTGATCAACCGGGCATTGCCCATTAGAAGTCCTGTCCCCAGCCCTAAAGTCATCAAGATTTCCAGAGCCAACCAAAACTCCTTGAGATATTAAAGACTGGGTGATGCGACTTTCCCTTGCCACACCAGAGCAATTTTCAGATAATCTCTGTATCCTACGTCCATCCGCATTCAATGTCCTCGTTTTCCCCGCATTTCGGTTCGAGGTTGTCAAGCCTCTGATTGCATAAAGGGTCCGCCAAACCGGTACGGACTTCATCCTATCGTCAGCGGTTGCTCAATACACAAAAATGTTCACCAAATCCAGAACTACAACCATCCCTAGCCCTAATCCTTCCCGGTGTTTAATTCATCAAAAGAATGATACTGCTTGACATTATCACACCACTCAGATCAATGCCTAAGTAATCCTTTCATGTATGTTGTAAGCACACAACAAGCTCATTTCTCGGTTCCTACTTGCCCAAAGCCCACTATTTCCACAAAAATCTCTTCTCCCTTAAACCCTAAACCCTAAACATGTAGAGCAGGAAAACCAAGCCCAAGAACGACCAACAATTCACTCCAACAGCTCTGTCACGCTGCAATCTCAACAACAACCACACAAGTCTACCAACCCGAATGTGACTGTAAGCACATTCCCAATTTCCGCATCCTACTTACAAACTACCACCGCTATCATCCCCAAACAAAGGAAAGAGAAGAAGAAACAAAAGAAAAATAAATAAATAAATAAAAATGAAGATGAGTAAAATCACAAAGGCAGCACCAGCAGACTGAAATGCGACTATAAACCAAGGTCATCAAACGTGGAACGATGCCGTCCTCGAGAAACAAGAACGGCACCACGCATTCCAACAGCTCGCGACGGGATTACTGGCTCAGCAATTGGGAGCATGGCGATGGCTTCCAGGCCTAACCCTAATTTGTTCACCACCAGTCACGTATGCAATGGATGTGGAGCTTCAATGTTGGTTTTTCAGCCGTCGAAGAGACGGCTTCTCATCCTCTTGGTTCAACGACATTTCTCATTTTTCCAGTCTTCACCAATTCGTGGCTTGGTTTCATGAATTCTGGCCATGGACCCCCTTTTTAGGGTTTCATGTTGATGGACGTTTCTATTCACTTTAATTTTGGTAGCAAAATACTTTTTTTAACGTTTTTTTTTTGAAAAAGAAGTCATGTTCAGCATTCAATTGTTTGCTTAGTAATCTGAAATGGAGACGTAAAAATAAATAAAACACTTGTTATTTGAGTCAATGACAATCCTACAAGTTATGTATGGCAATGTGAAGTTTATAATATGAAATTGCTATTTTTCATATAATATACACAATTAAAAGTAAATACTACAGTTGATTTATAATTTATTTATTTTATTATTTGTAATGGAGTAAGGTTATAATTATGTGTTTAAGTACAAAATTTTATCCTATAAGATACTAAAAGATTTGCAATGAAATTAGAAGATTCTAACATAATTATCAAAAGAAGTGGCACATATAATCTTAAATCGTATAAATTATTAATAAGAACCATTATGCTTATATAGAATGGCATAAATATATAAAGGACTAAACTAAACAATAATATCATATAATTCTTTTAAGAATGTATTTATTTGTTGAAATCACATGTTATTCTACTATAAGTTCTAAAAAGACTTCATAATACTTTGGCACTCTTATCTAAGATTTTTAGGACAATGTTCAATATTAAAACAACTATATCTCTAGTTATTCTTTGCAATTCGAACATGAATGTAAAATAATTGATTTAAAATGATTAAAAATATTGAAGTATCTTTGGATATATTATAAAAGAAAATAAAGAAAAAAGTATTAAAACATATTTTTTTGTACTAATACACTTGCTTAAATCTTGACTAGTTGTGGAATCAAACAATAAAGAACATAAGCCATGCCAATAAGATCTCTCACTAGATATTAATTTTGGTCTATTATTGCCCCTCTTCTTCCTTCTTTTTGTATATAGAAAATTAGAACAAGGCAATAAGACCAAAAACCAATAAACAAACAAGAATTCTTACAAGTCCAAAAATTAGGGCCTAACAATATAAGTAGCCAAAATCTTGCTAGGGGTGGGAGACTTTTAATCTTGTACCAATTATAGAAGCAACAATCCTACATAAAGAAGCTTGCATGAATGAAACAAGTCCATTTGTCCCCATGTTTTTATATGTAGAGAAAAATATTGTGCATTTGGGAATGAGAGGATGTAGGGGTAAATGTGAGAATCTTAGGATGGATGAGTCTAAATGAAGGAAAACATGAATGACAAGAATAAGGATTTTATGTCTAGGTTATTGAAAAAATAAAAATCTTCTTATGTTGTTGATAAATGTTATGTTTGGATTTGTAGCCATTTGAGTTATAGATCTATAAGATTCAAAGTAGAACTCTCAAGTGCTTGAAACATTGGACTTTATACTTGTAACTGAGGTCTAGGATTTTTTTTTTTTTTTTTTTTTTTTTTTTGCATTTCATGTATTTAATTATATATAACATTGAAGTAGACCTCAAAATTCAAAGCAATCCAACCGTTCATTCAAATTATACCTTAACAATTGTGTCAAATCTACCAAGTAACCAAAAAGTAATGGTGACTATCAGCAGCACTTGATGATAGAGTGTAAATAGTTCGACAGAGTGGATTAGTCAGAAGAAAACTTTCTGCACAAATTACTAACGAAGAATGGAATATTGCACAGGCTATTATGTTTTTGGCTGCAATTTGTATTTTCATAGCTGAGATGTCGTTAGTCCACTTACATTGTCACATCAATCTAATGGCATTCAGACACTTAACTAGCTAACCACAGCATTGTTGTTCAGTCATTTAGGTTTCAGCTCTGTTAGGTTCTGTGAACATTTGCATTTGACAGTGGAATCTGTACATTAAAGTCACAAGGGTAGAGATACAAAAAACTTAAATGCAGTACTCTCGGTGAAGTATAAGCAATCGCTATGCTTTGTGGGTGCATGCATTGCGAAGTTTGGGTAGCATAGACGTGATCTCAGGATAACACTGCACTGTCGAATCCCCTCATCTCGCATGTATCTCAGGAGATTCGAAACTTGGTAATAGAATTTCTAAACTTCAAGAATTTCATCAGGCTGCCTCGCTAGTCAGTCCGAATACATGCTGCTGGTGCTTCCATGTTTCCACATCCTTAATCTCTTCATCGAAAGTCTGGTCGAAACTACGCCTCTCGAATCAGAACGTCAAAATTTTAGACAGGGAGGACCTGTTTGGGTGCATAAGAAATATTCTAAGATAAATGTGCTGCAACTATATGTATATATATGGATGTGTGTGTGTGGGTATGTAATGAGCAACAGTTCCATGGTACGAGGAGAACTAGGTGTTATTATCTAGGAGACGGCAAGGAGTAACGGGAGCCCATAGACTCTTGAGAGGTGTCCGTGAATGCGTCACCTCTGGCTGTGACCTCGGAAGCGTTTGATTGTCGCCCATCTGAACGGAGTCCAACCTTCGCTGACCGTTGTTGCTCGATGGCGGCTGCCTCCCGCAGCTCTTGGACGACTTCTTGCATGTTGGGCCTGTGGTTCTCCTTGGGCTCCACGCTGGTCATTGCGATCTCAATAACCTTCCACATGCTCTCCAGGCTGAAGTCCGATCGTAGATCTGGATCGACGATTTCTTGCAGGTTCCCAGCTTGCAGGTGCGGCCTCACCTATCCAAATCACACAGTTAGGAGTACATGGGAGCCCAGTATATGATGGTGACACTCGTCAGGTAGTAATGGGGTTTCATCTCCGGGTTGCCAAGTCCTTCCCTCCATCGCTACATGTGAAGATATATCAAGAGTTCGAGGTCGTTGGGTACTTCCAGTTTCAAAGATGAGTAGATGAGACATGTTCTAAATTCTTACCACTTCAGTGATGCTCAATTTTTTGTTGGGATTGGAAAGGGACATGCTAATTGGCGGTCGTCCACAAACAAGCTCCAATAAGACCACACCAAAACTATAAACGTCACTCTTCACAGTCAGCTTCTGGGAGATATAGTATCTGTAGAACACCACCGCACAAAAGTTTCATGAAGCTTCACGCTCTAGTTAATATCACATTCAGACATGGATCCTGGGAAGTCAATCTGATCCAGTGTTTTCAAAAATTCCCGAATGATTCAAGATCGACGAGGGTGGAACAAACATTAGAATTTGAAATAGCACGATTACGTCGATCGGAACACAGTGCTGAATTGGGTTAGGGGATTTCACGCGTTAGGGGATAAAGAATGTACTCTGGGTCAAGGTAGCCTGCAGTTCCCTTAACGAGAGTTGAGATGTGCGAGACGCCTTCAGCTTGGAGGGCGAGCTTGGACAGACCAAAATCTGAAACTTTCGCTTCCATACGATCGGTCAGCAGAATGTTGCTGCTCTTCACGTCTCGATGGATAATATTAGGTCGGCATGCCAAGTGCAGATACTCCAAACCTGTGAATGTACGCGTTTAGAAGAGCATTCATGACACAAATATTGTGACTATGGCAAGCGAAGCGTATAGTCGTTTTCTTGTTGAATATGACATTATGACATACAATTACCCAAATAATCCACATCCCTTGAAATTTTTAAGCTTCTACAAGCGCTGCCAGCTTCCCTTAAGCGGAGACATGAGTTGGGTTGGGAGTCTAACCTTGTGCAGCATCTAGGGCAATATGCACTCGAGTATTCCAGCTCAAAGGAGTCGTTGCAGATGGGCCTATTACAATCACAGGTCAAATTCCTGAATGACTGCACTTCATTACTATAACTCAGTTCACACTACTGTCGAGCGGTAGTCCTAGCAGAATAATGAACTTGATCGATCACCTAGTCACCATCGCTTGAGTTTCGCGACGAGAAGAACAAAGGTAGACAAGAAAGAAGAGTAACTTACCGTAAAGATGATCCCGCAGGCTTCCATTGGGAAAGTACTCATAGATCAGCGTTTGGTTGTCTTTCTCTTGGCAATAACCAATCAAAGAGACGAGATTCTTATGGTGAATTCGTGACAGCAAGTCCACCTTCAAGATCAAATCGCAGGGATAAGATTAGAAAAAACAGCTCAACGTGTACCCTTTTCCAATAAGCTTATCGAAGACCCAGGTGACGGTAAATTTCCAAGTAATCTCATCAGAGGCATTTCAAAGTTGTAACAAGGGAAGGCAATTTGGCTGTCGGAGTTCCTACCTCAGTAAAAAATTCAGATTGTCCTTGTTTAGAGATTCCATTTGAAACCTTAATTGCCACTTCTTGACCGTCTGCCAATTTGCCATAATATACGGGACCAAATCCACCTTCTCCTATCTTCTTGCTAAAATTCTTGCTAGCGACCCGTAGCTCTCGAAGACTAAACACTTGGGTGTGGTTTTGGAAACTGTGCTGCTTGTCCATTTTCTTTCCTACAATGCCGCCAAGGAGTTCAGTAGACAATCATTAAAGAATCATATTTCACATCATAGACTGCGAGTCAGGGTGGGGTACATCTCTGCTCAGCTCTAAGATACTAACAAAATTCCAATTTAATAGCCAGTTTTTAGTGATGACACAAATTCAGACTGGAATCGCACCTGATTCCATATGGCGATTGCATCTGTTTCGGCTCAAACGGTAGATAACATAGATGGCCATCAAGACCAAGAGGCATCCAAGAGTTTCGACTACAATAGACAGGACGTGCGACTTCCTGTATGCTGATGTCCTATCTGAGATTTCCTCACACGAATGATAGCCTTCGCAAAGTATGTCATTCCCAGAAATGCTGCCCACCAGAAAAGAACAAGGATTTTAGCCGAACATCCACACGTTTCAGATTGCATACAGGCAAAATGGCATGAACCTTAATGTTACAAGACCCGTCCTTCTGATATAGTTCACCTCAGTACTACCGCAACGAATTACCGGAATTCCACTTACTTCATTATCAATTGCTTGTTGCCAAACTTGGGTACACTCCCTTCCAGATGGTTATCTTGAAGAAACCTGTTGGCATTGTCCAAGAAATATTAAGCTCGAAAAAATGTCCTAGATTTCTCTAGTTGTGAAACATGATTGCAGTTGTTAAGAATACTGTTCTGCATGACCCATAGTCTTGCTCTCATCACGAGGAGTTCACGAAAAGATGAAGCACAAGATATGCAAATTTCGCAAGAAAATCATTAGTAACTTGACATGCGTGATCTTTACTTACAGCTCCTGCAACATTGGTAAATCAACAAGCCATTGCGGAATTTCTCCCGTAAGAGAGTTGTGTTGCAGGCCCCTACCAGGTGATACATTAGAGTTTGCATCAGCACCAACGGCAACAAGATGACTGAGAATGTTGGAAATAAGGACAAGAGCCCCCAATCGTGCTATAATCATGTGAAACATTAAGTTCACGATAGAAAGTTTTGGAAAAATTAACACAACACGACAAATAACTTAATGAAAGTAAAGACTAGGCGACTTGAGGGCATCACGAAGCATACAAGTGAGAGAGACTCTTCATCTGGCTGAGATCTGGTATTGGTCCACTCAGGAGATTGTTGCTCATCCATCTGAAATCATCCAAAACAGTAGAATAACACTGTATGCAACCAAAAGCTTCAGGAAAAAATGGTAACAGGAACGGCAATATTTACTTAACGTACCAAATACACTACTAACAATCCCGTCAATGATGAACGACTTACATGGTGGTCACCGCTGTGAGGTTGGCAATACTGGTCGCAATGGGGCCAGACAGATTCATGCTTGCCAGGTTCCTGAAAAAACCCATCCGTTAGATTCCCGAATGCTGTTCTTGTGGGCATATTCTGACGCTAGGTGAATCAGGAACTCATTATCGTTCAGCATTAGATTCAATAGGAGGCCGACTTTGTTAAGAAGTGATCATTAGGAGGCAAAATAGGGGCTTACAAAGTGGAGATGCGGGGGCCACTTGAGTCCAGCGTGCAAGCGAGCCAATTGTAAGGATAAGGAAAACAGGGATCACCACTCCAGTCACTCAGATTGTACTGTTGCTTTATGTTCTCGATTGCCATGGCTGCTCTGTTCAAACGCTTGGTCGTTTAAAATGTGAAAACAAAACATAGTGTGTCTACTATGTAAGCAAAAGTCGACGTGTCTCTATTGTTCAGGAACATGTGATCACAATTCCTTCACAGCCTTATTTACATGACAAAAATGAAAGATGTTGAATGAGATTCAGGAACCTAACTGGGACAGTGATTCAACAGAGATCAAAGCGAAATAGCATTGGGATAGAGAAATGCATTACCATCAGGCAAGAAAGTTCGCCCTTGCACCTCCTCAAATATTTGGTACGACTCGTAAGCATTCAGCATTGGAAGTCCGGTAGAGTCGACACAAGGGTTGAATGTAAGATTCGTGACCTGTGCAATAGCTGCATACGTTTTCTCAACTTGTAGTGTCGTGAATAAACCACTGGAACCAGACGCAAGCAGAATGCTGAAGTCCACAACCCATGGTTTGCTGTCGAGCGAAACATCGAATCGGCGGGAAGTTGAGTTCATTCTCGCGTCTATTTCGGCAAAATAAAGCACTACGTAGTAGTCAACGTTAGCAAGCCAAGGAGGGTATTGGGATCCCCTCAAAAGTTTTGCCGACATCATGACAGCCATGGGAGGCTTGTTGGATGCGGAGCCCGGCGCTACTGGCTGGGTTGTGTTGATCGTTGTACCGGGAGCATTCTCGCCCAGCCATATTCTGTCAAATGGGTCATCCGGGTATCTATTGCATGTTTAAACATAAACAAAATTTAGATACGATGGCAGGTTTACCCTGTAGTAACATAATGCGATTCATAGTTGGTGAATAACATGTGATGGCGTATTTACCTTACAATCGACAGCTTGTCGGCACCAAAGTTTTTGCGGTCCATGCGAAGCAAATAGTACCCTTTCTCTACCAAGGCATACATGCCTGGATCCAGAGGTCGAAGCTCTAGGGACGAAATATAGGGGACATCTGATGGATCAGTCCGCACCAGGCAAACATACATGTCGTCACGGGTCGCTTTGAGCACTACCTCCACGACATCGCCATTGAACGAGTCGACAGTTTTAATCCTAGTGGCTTCAATAAAAATGTCGAACTCCGGAGGTGGGTTTTGAGGGATGAAACCCGCGCGAACAAGGTACGTTTTATTTCTCACAACTGGCAGCATGTAGCAACTCTTGTTACGAGGTCCTGGAAACTTCCGAATAGTGTTCTGTGTGTGCGCGGGGATGTAGAAGAAGGCAGTTTCACTCTCATCCACAGCGTTAATCCCAGCGGTCGTGTACTCCGAGTCTGTCGTCCATGTCATGTTGATAGACGTGTCGTGGTTTGGGGCATTGGCACCACAATCGATGTTGATAAACCCTGAGGCTCAAAACTCCAAGGGATGAATGATGGAATGCAAGTGAACAAGGCTCTTATAGCAACGCAGTCAATCCACTTGTTCGGAGAAAATGCAGTAACATGACAAGGCCTAAGTTGCAAACTATTCTCAAACTTCACGGAATGGAAGTTCTACTGAAATGGTACCTGGCTGGGCGTTTAATTGCAGCACTAATGTGAACACTGACATTGAGATCAGGCCAGCCGAGAGGCTCATTGTGGAAAGGATGCGAGCCATACAGTAGGCAGGCCTGTAACATCCAATAACCTTTGCGAAGAGCGAGTTCGGCAAGCTCTCGAACCAGACGCAGGGTTCCTGCAAGACGAGGACACTACTCTACAACTGCGGTATTCTTGAAACTATCCGTAAGTCATCTGCCCCATCACAAGCTGAACCTCATTTGCAAGTGACGAAGGTCTTCAGCATCCCTACCCTCAAGAACTAATTAAAAGACCTATCTGCAAGAAGTGTCCAAGAAGTCCAGATCAGTTTTGCATACTTGGTGTCTACTGCTTCAGCCCTTTCCGAATGCCGCAACCTGCGAGCTCCTGGGTACCATTTCCCCAACACAACCACAATGCTACTCTGACTAGCCGCTGAGTGGGCTACACTCTAAACACACACATGGCCCTGTAAACTCCGCATGGTAGGAGTGTGGGAGAAGGCAGACAGGAGCTCCAATGGTGCCTGCAAGGACCTGCCGCCATCGCTATTGTCCGGCCAGTACTTCTGAAACGAACTTAATTGGCGTCTATTAAGTACGCATGTGCAGGACTGTAACGGATACTGGGAGGGTAAAATCGAAAGATTGATGACGGTGCCGAGATCAACAATAAGGTGGCATTGTCCTGATTAAAATGGGCCGAGACTGATGTTGACAACGCGATTCAACATTATATTTGATGCTTAACTGAAGAACGATCACATTTCTGTTAGGCATTAACATTGCCATCATAATCTGGACGTAGGGTCGTAAACGAAGTGAAGAGAGACACGTGAGAAAAGCAGACAGGAAACTAAAGGACTGCCTATCTGTCAGAATGTACCCTGGCTCCGAATCAGTTAAGGAGTCCTCGGTTCTCGAAACTCCTGGAGTCTGGCGCAGATCAGTCTGCCACGTAAGCTATACATCTGACAGGTATATCATTTCAGCAACAAACTCGAATTCAATATGTGCTGACAGAAAACTCAGAATCAATCCCAAAATTCAACACTGTGCAAGAGGTTTTTTCAGACCTGATTCCTCAGGTACGATTTGAACGATATTCCATGGACTGTTCGATGTTCGAAACTTCCTGTGAGTTCCAATATAACATCAATCACTCGAAAGAAAGAAGACATTTCCAACCATGTGAGTAACAATAATTCACGAAGCCACTAGACAACGATCCTCGTCACGACTATGTCGGTCCATGATGAGCTTGTCCAGGTTTCAACAGAGCTGTAAGAATCATCATCTTCGGTACAGAAAAAGTCATGGCCGTCGTTGACTCTCACTACACACTGCCCAAGACCAACCCTGCAATATGAGTGTCTGCTACTGAGTACCACTCTCCCCTGAGCGGCATCTTGTGTTTCAGAATCTGAAAGTCCGTATGCGCATGTCCATGACTTCCGCAATTGAATAGTAGAAGCTTATTGAAGGTGCAGCAGAATCATACATCAGTTGAACTCTGCTTCAAATCGAGGGGACTGTGGCTTTTGTAATCACATCCGTTTAAATACATCTCCCAACCGCACTCAGATAGAGTGGTATCAGCTCTCTCGATCTCATCAAGCTATAGGAATACGTCGGCGGATATGTGACATTGTCCCCGATTCTACAGAGCTTTTTCTGTAGCTGTGCCTTCAATGCAAGGTATTGAGCAGTGACTCCAAAAAGTGCACGAAAATTGCTTTGTGCCCTTGACTGTTGAAGGTTTGCCCTGATTTGCCGTCGTGTCTACATCGATGAAGGGTCTATCTGAAAGTAGGGGTCGGAGAAGTTGCTGGCCAAACAGGAATTGTCCGTAATCCACAAGATTCCTGCAGGAAAGCATAGTTCACAGTCACAAGTTCTAGCTCTGTGCACTCATTCTGGACAGGCCATTTGCTTTGGAAGAAAAGACAACTCTGTTCATTGCTAATGAGATCACAACCACCCATACAACTAAAACACTCAGTGAAAGTGCTGGAAATGACTTTGTGGAACCAATGTCTCCTCTCGTACGGTCTCCGAAAACGAAGTCCCCTTCTTTCACAATTTACGATGCATTCGGCCTGAGTGTTAGCAACATCAAACCATGTACTTCAGTATGAAAATAAACACACAACTTAAGATTTGTGACCTTGGCTTTAGACGTACTCTAGCAAGAAAGACATTTGCAAAAAGAAGAATGGAAAGCAAGATATGAAGAATCTAAGCTGAAGCACTATTGAATTAACATGAATTACTCTTATAACCGTGTTCGATACCTGAACTTTGTGTATAAATGTTATGCTTGCTCGTTGAGTATGCAGATTGTATGGCTAACGGGAAAGAGAATTTCATGGTACGAGGGTATAAAATGTTGACTTAACTTATTTGAACCACGGTTGTGTAACTTTAGTTCCTATACCTGGTCTAGGATAGTGGTGGTTGCTCTATAGTAGAGGGTGATGCTTAGTATTTCATGGTTCTACAATGTATGACGTGTCAAGGGAGTTCTAAATGGCCATCGAACATGGGTACAAACCACACCCCCCCCCCAACGCACAAAATAAATCTTAAAATGACAATGTTGTGAAATAATAAGACAGCTTCAAACAGGAAATGGCTTGAAGCTTTGTAATCAAATCACAGGATTCAATTACGATAATACTAAAGACTTGTGACTGTCCATGTTTAACTATTTGGTTGGATCTTTTCAATAAATGCACATCAAATTGGATGTGATAAATTCAAACTGCATTTTTTTTAGCTCACAAAATAAGAAATTGCTCGGTGGAAAGCTTTGTCGCTACATGTATGATTAAAACAGTTTTCATGGATAACATCAAAGTTTTTCATTAGTAATAATAATAATATCAATTGTACAAGAATACTGTTTACACTTCAATGTTCAGAGTGATTGACTTACCACACACGCCACGGTGAAATATTCAACTTCTACATTCCTTTGTACTGTGTACTTAACCCAGTTTGCCTATTCCAAGCATAAACAAGTAATCCAACCATTCGTGGTCTAACTGTCATCACATAACCTACATGCACATTTTGTGAAAAACAAGCATCTTCTTTCGCATTCTATCTATTACTTTTTTACTTTCGCCCAGTAAGATGAAATGCCACGCCCGCAACCTGGAAAGCACAATGGAGAGGGAAGTTTTCCCCACTTTCCTTGGAAAGGAGGCAAAAAGGTGTGGGGGCTGCTCCCGCAACAGGGACTTGGTGCCATCACACACACACTCAGACGAACAGACAGACATCCAGCCAAACAAACAAACAAACGAACGAACGAAAATCTGAGACGGACGGACTGGACGGAGGAGACGTTGCTAGCTTCGTCGATTTTCATCAGCTCAAGCGGGATGGAGGGTCATTGGGGAACGAACGATGAGAGGGCGACGAAGAGGGGACGCGCTGCAGCTCTCGAGACGCAACAGAGCACCAACTCTGACATCACCGCCGTGGTGTGCTGCTGTCTCTCGCCTCCTGCGGCACCCACGATGATCTCCACTGAAATCACCAGCAAAGCCGGAATCGATGTCGGCAGAGGGGATGTCGTGTGTTGGCCCTGAGTATGTAAAATAACATCTGAAATTTGGTGATTTTACTGGTGATGAATACAAGTTTGTTGTCCATAGTTTCATCAAATGAAGAGATTCTCACTATTTTTATTTGATTTAATATAATTAAAAAAAAAACACTCTTGGTAGTAGATAATCCAAGAGTGTTTTTTTTTTTTTTTTTTTTTTTTTTTTTAAATTATATTACTACTACTATTGTAGGATGAAGTTAATATATACCTTCTGGTGTGTGAATACATAGGGCTCTTTAAAATAAGGTTGATGAAGAATTACTCATCTTGTAGAAGTCAAATTCTCAAATTAATTTAATTCTATTATTTCTCTAGAACTATAATTTTTATTATGAAATGCAAATATGACCTAGTGCAACCTTTCCATTGCCTCTATGAAATATTCAGATTGAGATCAAAAGCACACACATAGACAGATAAAGCTTGTCTCAGCTCTGGATTCTCTGTGATGGAGGTCCTACATTTGTTCATGTGGGCTGTAGATAGCTATTATCCCAAGGAGACCAATGCTGGACAGCTTCATTCCATTCCTACACTCATGAACATTGGTAAATTCTCATGTCAGGTTAGCTTGATCAATTCTGACTGCAGTTATCAATTGTAGTTGTGACTGGGTATGGCTTGTAGAAGGTTTTCACTGGTTTGGTGTGCTCATGTGCATGCATGCATATGAACAGATCATACAGTTCATGGCATCTTGCAAACCTCAGGTACAACGTTGTAGGATACATCACTATCACATCATGGATAAAATTGCATCTCCATAGATATTGAAGCAGTTTTCCAAAGTCAGTACTGAATACATGAATGTGATAATAATACTAGTAAAAAGAAAAGAAAAGAAAAGAATAAAAAACAAGGGTTAGTTTGCTGTACAATTATCAGTGAGGCCATTCACAAGGAGATGTTTCAGTTGTGTATTGCAGCTCAGGGATGATTATTGACATAAGAGATGACCTTGCCTTGACAATGGGTATGTTGTAAAGCTGCTGATTCAGATAATTAACTTCTGCTTGTAACGACAGACAAGGACCAGGGGAAGTGTAGTGCCAATTGTGGTTGAGCTGCATGTGCCTTTGCATGCTCAATCATTCATAGAGACTGAATGCTTAATAGATACACATGTCTTCTTTCACCTTGAAGGCAGGGTTATTGTCAACAAATTGTTATATCTCATATTTAACTAATTATGGGCAGAAAATAATTCAAATAGTAATAATAATAACTCTACTCATGGTAGGTTGCCAATAAATGGGATAAAAAACAACATGCATTGTCACTACATGAACTCATATAAAGTAAATCTAAGTGCAAAGAAGTATTAAATTCATAAAGAAAACATTCAGTTTTGAAGATTACAAATATAGATCTAATATTTTGAAACTAACATTCAAATCATGGTAGGCCACCAATAGAGGAATAAAGAAGAAATTATGACAATTTGATGGATATAAAAAAATTAAAAATTTAAAAATATATTAAATAGATTTTTTATTATTTTATATGTATATATATATATATATATATATATATATAGGCAAATCTATGTAGTATTGTCAAAGATATGAATCACACAAAACCAAAGGATCAATATACTCTTGTGTCACTTGAAAAGAATAGATAATTATTCAAAAATAATATAATACTAAATTAAAAATAAAAAATCAAAGTCTTTTGAAACAAGACTAGGGACAAAAAAGGTATTAACAAGAGTAAAGAATGCTTCACTCTTACTTCCAAATATACCATTTTAATAGAAGCTACATAGCAACATTGTCGTATTACATGAAGTCTTGCTTAAGAATGCAATAGATACTTAGTTGTAGAAGGTAAAAGGAAAATTACAACAATAAGATCCTAATAATTCTAATAGAATCCTAAATAAATTCCAATTAAACCTTAATAATGTTAATTAAGATTTAATCAAATCCAAAAGAAATCCTAAAGAAATTACAAAAGAAATATGAAGAAATATTAAATAAATCTTAAATAAATCTTAATCAAATCTTATTTTTATCTTCATTGAAACCTTAATAGATCTTAATTAAAACCTAATAAAATCCTAATTAAATCATAAATCTTAAATCATAATTCAAACTTTAAATAAATTATAAAAG